CTGTGTGCGTTCATTGCTTTCGTTACAATTCTAGGTCATAGAGTCATTCAATCTATGGGCGACCATTGTATTCATTGCAATTTCATGTCATAGAGGCAATAATTCTATGGGCGTCATTGCTTTCGTTACAATTCCATATCCTAGATTCATTCAATCTATGTTCGATCATTGTTTTCGTTCCAATTCCACGTCATTGATTCTTCCAGTCTATGGGCGAATCATTGCTTTGTTTCCAATTTCAGGTGATAGATTCATTCAGTCTATGCGCGATCATTGCTTTCGTTACTATTCGAAGTCAGAGATTCATTCATTCTGTGTGCGATCTTTGCTTTCATTACAATTCCCGGTGATAGAGTCATTCAGTCTATTTGCGATCATCGCTTCCGTTCCAATTTCTAATCATAGATTCCTTGCTTTCTTGACAATTCCATGTCATAGAGTCATTCATTCTATGGGCGATCATTGCTTTCGTTCCAATTCTAACTCAAAGATTTATTCAGTCTACATGCGACCATTGCTTTCGTTCCATATTCCAGGTCATTGATTCTTCCAGTCTATGTGCGTGCATTACTTTCTTTCCAATTCCAAGGCATAGTATTAATAAGGCTGTGAGCGGTCACTGCTTTCATTCCAATTCCACCTCATAGATTTATTTAGTCTATAGGTGATCATTGATTTCCTTCCAATTCCAGGTCATTGAATCATTCATGCTATGTGCGATCATTGCATTCAGTTCAATATCAATTTTCATATGTTCATTCAGTCTTTGTGCGATCCTTGATTTCGTTCCTATTCCATGACGTATTTTCTATTTCGGAAAATTTTTCTTGAATCCTTTTTCTTGGAACAGTTGTAAGATGATTTCCTTTTCCAAAATCTTTCTTATTCCAACTACTGAAGCTTATTACATCTGTCTAGTCACCTCATTTTACCTTTGGGCAATGCAAATTTGGATTGAGTTAAGAAGGACAGTTATATAGCTTTAATTTGGTAACCAGTCTTTCCTTGTCTCTTGATGCAAGGAATATATTCATGCGCCAAACTTGATAAAGTTATATATATATATATATCGTTCTTTCTTTCTACCTCACTTCTGTTTTTCTTACACCCCCGTCTTTTCCCCGGTTCCATAGCGATGATTAATGAGCACGTTTCTTTATCGATCCTTAAAAACATTATCGTTGGCGCCACATTCTGTTTGGCAAAAAAATCTTTCTTTTTTGTTTTACCGCTTTTTCGACCGTTGAAACTCTGTCGGATAGATTTGTTCTGACCGTTGTTGTTAAAACATTAGTCAGAGAAATGAAGACGTAAATAGTGAACATTGTTTTGTATCCAGAGTAATTAATCATAATAAGGAAATACTCAGCTTTCGACGGTTGCTTCATTTTTGTATTGACTGCGGTAGCCATCATAGCCTCTCTCGAAATTTCATCTATCAACTTTCTATCATCGTTTAATACAGTCCGATTTTCGGGAATATTATTTATTTTTATATAGTAAGATATCTATTTCAATAGTTATAGTACGCTATTTGATTTATTATTATGCCATTTTTAATATACTGTCACTTTTGTCTCAGTCTATATTTTTGAGATGAGGTGTTATGTACACTATTTACATTACTCGGAGTATCATCCTCATCTTTGCTGCCATATTTATCACAAATATGACAACAAAGATGAGAATGATACTCACTTTTATAGTACGATATGTTTGAATACTTCAACGTCGCAAGTGGTTACCCGAACGTGCTCGTCAAACGTTTCTTTAAAGATATTTAAAATAATATTCAAACACTTACTTTTGTTACTTGCATTATTTACATAATTCATATTGTTATCCTCCGTTGTACGCTCCGGCCTTTATGTCTATGTCTCTCTATATATCTGTCTATATCTCTGATATGAGATATTATGATTACTTGCATTATTTACATTATTCGGACTGTTATCCTCATCTTCATTGCCATATTCACAACGTTTCGGCCGTTGTACGCTCCGGCCTTTATGTCTATGTCTCTCTATGTATCTGTCTATATCTCTGAGATGAGGTGTTTTGATTACTTTCATTATTTACATTATTCGGACTGTTATCTTCATCTTCATTGCCATATTCACGACGTCACTCCATCAAAATCGACTTCCTATATTTTGTCTAGTACCTGAACCCCAAAGTCAAACTGAGGAAATCCAAACAGAAATACACTTCTCTAACAAATACTAGTTTCATAAACTATTATTTAACCTTGGTAGCACTTGTTGGGTTTCCAGCTTTGGGCGAATATTAACCCCCTCCCAGTCGAAAAGAAAACACTGTGAAAGATCTTCAACTGATGGATATCCTTGTATCGTCCGTACACTTTCAAGCAGCCTTGCTGTAGAAGCTCGTGTCGGCCATCTGAAATAAAAAATATCATATTATGTCAGCTTACAAGATTTTCGGACCACCCTATAGTACGAATTTCTTTCATAATGACAAATGTTTTAATAGATTGTGATAGTTTATAGTAGTGTGATATTTATTACAGTTTTCCTTTTATTTAATATAGAACACTTGGCTTTAAGGTCTGCGGGCTATTCCAACGTTTATGAAGACAATGTCTCTGGCGACTAGAATGGATCTGCGATTCGCGAGGAATGAGAGAGAAGTCATGCGTCATCACTTCTTTCTCCAATGTTTAAGAGTCAATGCTGCTGACTATAAGAAGGTGGTGCTCTTGATGGTTGTGGCGTGTGAGTCAAGACACTGCGTCATTTTATATAACGATCCAGGAATGACTGAATTAATATCTCCACGATCACGTTAGCTCAAACATATGGCCTCCGAGCTATCCAGACCTGAATCTAATATTTACGCGTAGGAGTCAACACTCCTTTAATACTATAAAATCTCTGAAGTCCGCCATAATGAAGACAATGTGCAAAATAGATACAGATCACTTGATTTGAACATGTCAACGTTTCAGCCCGTGTACCGAAGCCATCATCAATACTAACAGCAGATAAATTAAGTAGATTAACCAAGAAGATTCTCAGGATTATCCATGCCAATTCTTTCATGACTTATCCGTTTTTTACGGAATTCATGCAAATGTCGTCAAAGAACTGAACCAAGGCTGTAATTACATTCCGAAAACCCTAATACCGTAACTGATAGCGACATTTTCTTGTATAGTGCTCTATTCCTTAACCCTTTGAGCTCTGCTTTCCTAAACAATTTTAACACTTCTACTTGAGCTCCTGAGTTAAAATTTGCAAATAATTGGTATGTAATCTTTCACGGTAGATATAAAAATTGTAACAAATGTTTACATACCGTTCAACCGGTGACTTAGTCTTAAGTCATTTTTCTCTACCACTGTTCAACCGGTGGCTAGGTATTACGTCATTTTTCTCTCTATAAAGCGATGGTCAGCGCTCAAAGGGTTACTATAATCAAATTTTCTTTCATTTACTGTCGTATATCTTCATTTCAGAGTGCGGTTTTATTTCACTTAATATAGTACAAGTTTCTTTTATAATGGCGAATGTTTTAAATAAATAGTGATATTAATTTACAGTGCGATAGTTATAAACATATTCTTGTTTCCTTTAATATAGGACATTTGATTCTTCGATGTGCGCTTGGCGTAGAGATGTTGTTATATTCACGACAAGTAGGATTGGCGGTTCGGGTTCAAATTCGATCCGATGCATAAGTGCGCTTGGAAAGGTATAAATCAATCGCTACTCTCTCTGGCCAGATGTTAATAGCAGGACAGACTGTGCGCTCGTTGCCATGAGCTAGTATCGAAAAAGGACAACTGTGAATTCAAAACAGTTTTGTTTGGAGGCGAACAAATCCACCTCGTAAAAGTATTACTATGAAAAACTGCAGCAGCAATACTTATCGCAGTGAGTCTGTGGCGTTAGCGTGGTGAGGCTGTGGCCTTATACAGAGAGAAGGGTTAACAAACTTCATTTCCTTTATAATGCGATAAAAATTGTCCGTTCCTTGTATCCCCTCCAGAAAGTCTTTGACTCATTCTGATATGATCTATATCTTCACAAGAGTGAGACTATACTAAAAACAAAAACGAGTTTTGCTTGTATATCTAGGTTGGAGTTCAAAAGCCTTAACATGGCCGTGTGGGTGATGGCTTATTTTCTACCCTACAACCTCTTTCTAAGAGATGAAACGTTGCTAGGTTCTCGCTTCTTTATTGCTTCTTTCATGGTAAATCTTCTTACGAATTACATTGTCTAGTTCTAACAGTTCAGTCCCTTGCCGCTGACACCCGTCACGCCATATACAGTGTCAGTTCGTTCTCAATCTATTTTTGAAGCAGAAATATCAATCAGAAAAAATATTCAAAAGAACTGCTACTTTATGAATCGGACTCCTACGATGATGCTTCCACGATTACTACAATCTTAACGTCTTCAAGTCTAGGCTGAACCGTTATTTATACTCTTCGTTGAGAGAACACGTTGCCGAGTATTTAGGTACTCATCGACATTTCTTTCTTTTGGAAATGAGTTCTATGTTGGATCTGAAGAGACATCCGCAGCCATGGTAGGGTAGGAAGATTCAAGGGAAAGAAAGCTCTGTTTTTTTTTTCTTCCCTTCTATTTGTCTTCTGGGGTTTTCCAAGGCTGTTGTTTATTCGTCGACTGTTCTTCTCCTGTTGTTTTTTTCTTCGACAGCTTCCGTCTCTCAATTCACGGGATCGATTTCTGTCTTCAGCAAGATGTTTTTGAGCTGATCATGTATATTACTTATACACATAATCTACAATTCTTACATCGTCCTCTGACGTCCTTACAACATTATTCAGTAAGCCTCTACTATGAGTGACTCTTGGGCCTTGGTTGGAATGAGCAATAGTATAAAACATGTAACGATTTAATTGTGTGATATTCTTTAACCTGTTACAATTTTTATTTAATTTAATATCGTCTGATTATCTTAAAAATACATTGAATATCTTTGTCGTTTCTTTCGTCTTTTGTTTGAAGATCCATTAGATTTTCTTTTTGGCCTTTTCTCTCTTTTTTTTTTCTTTTTTTTTCTTTCTTTTTTATTCCCATGTGATACAGACATTAATGATCGTTTAAATATATTTTTATAGTCCGTACATTTAGGATTCTCTTTTTGGCGTTTTTATCGACGAGTTTAACGCAATAAAATGACACAAGCCGAGACTCTAACGAAATGATTGCTAAACGCATTTGGGAATCGGAGTCATTTTCTAGCCAACAAGACGTCATCTCATTGTCTTTCACCAATTTCTTTCGCACTTTCTCAGATCTACTTGTCATTTTTTATTATTAAAAGAGATTGCATTACTAATATCATTATTATTATTATTTCTATTATTTTTTATTAAGATTTAGTTGTTTTTATCGCGCCATACACCGACAATGGCGCTGAAAGAGACAATAGAATGAAGTGTTTTTCTTTTTACTAATTGCTCACACAAGATACTGGACAAAGTTGTACAAACTTAAGATGAGGCAGTGAGAAGAACACATTATGAGGATATGTAGGAAAGATAACGGTTAACGTTAGACTTGAAGATTGTAAGAGTTGGGGAAGCATCCTCTCGGGAGTATGTTCGACAAAGTAATGATTCTAGGGAAGAAATTATGGAATTTTCTTCTTTCTAATCGGAATGGGGTGGGGATGATTCAAACCTGCATACGTTGCATGGAAGCGCTAAAGGTCATGTTGGTTTTAATTCAGTATTAAAATGTTTCTTTAACGAAAATACATTAAATTGTGGCACAGGGACAAAGAGCAAATGGGGAAAGGTTGTCCGACACCGTCTATCCTACACCTAGCTAATCCTAATCCATCTTCTTTTGGGGCCTATCAGAGACCCAACCGATGGATTTCGATGCTGCCAGTTCTCCAGCTGTTGGGGAGACACTGCCATTGCGGTCAGGGCTACCACACAGCACGAGAGAGTAAGAAAAACAGTTAAAGACAAAGCAATCATGTGACCAACAATAACAGGAAAAAAAAACGAGGACAAAACGGGGAACAAAAAAAAAGCGACGCAGACATTCCAGGAATTTTCCATTCTAATAGTGGAATTACTGCAAAAACATTCCTCTTCTAAAATTTATAGACAACATATACAGATGCATGCTGGGATTTTTTCCTAGCCAATAAGATAGGTCATTTCTCGATTTCATCCGACTTAGTTCTGTGTTTTCTTGTTTTGAAGTCAGGTCGCTGCGATCGCTTGTCTGTACCTCCTTTTGTGTATCAAACCCAATTCTTAGTTTGTGAACTTTTTTGCCTAATTACTGTTGCTTTGCCTTATTACTGTTAATTTGCTTTGCATATATTGTTTGCTTTCTTTTATTAATACTTGGTCTATTTTTTTTCCTTTGATTGCTTATTGCAAACTTAGTCAATTCTGTTTGCCGGAGAGTTCTGTTACTTATTTTGCATTTAATCATGCCTACTCACTGCACTCCCACACCTGCCCAAATATTTATCCATTATTATTAATATTAGGACGGTACTCGGTTTCATCTGACTCAGTCCCGGTTTGTCTTGTCTTGAAGTCACAATGCTATATTCGCTTATCAGAAATTGTTTTTGTGTGTCAACCCTTGATATTATTTCTTGCTCTTTTCTTTTTCTGGTTATTGCAAATATTGTCACTTCTATTTGTTCGCTATTTTTGCTAATTACATTCAAACATGGCCGATTACTCTACAGGTTAAAACTGGTCTAACTAAGGAATATGACCCCTCAGTACATTTGTCATGAAAATAGTGATAGGTTAAACAATCGTTTGAGACATCTGGAAAATGAAATGATTGTATCTGGTGTAATAAAATACCCCCAAGGTCTTCTTTATCGGTTAAAGATGCTGCAACGTTTACTAAACTTCCTGGAGACAAGAGGGACAATCATAGCAAGTAGTTATCCTTTATTCCCGATCTGTGCTGTTTACTTACAAGAGGCAAAATTAATCTAAGTTATGGCTGTAGAAAAACCGGCTGAAGCTTTGGTTGCCAAATCAAGACAGATAAAGTTGAAAATTCTTCATTGGATTTTGCCAAAAATCTGTAGATATATAGCAGATCAGTTGAGGCAGCACTATTCAAATACCCGTTTGTAGGAAAGACCTTGAAAATCTCAGATACATTAATAGTAACGCCTTCGTGTGTAAACCCCTCTCCTGAGGCGTTTGTAACACATCTATTTATCATCTCTCAGTTGCTTGTCTTTCTTTGGGCAGGGTCAACTCAGGGGCGACCCCGGCAAAGGACAGTCGCAACTGACAAAAGGTGCCCAGTCCTAGGGAACAGCTGCCCGAGGTCGCGCCCTCTCATTGCACCAGAGAGGGGGATCGATGCTCGCACCGAGGCCATCGCAACCGACAGTTGCAGGGGCTGCGGGCAATTTTTGTTCCTTGCCCGGGTGTACGCGCTCGGGTCCCCATCTTAAAAATACCTTGTGTCTCAACTCGTCTTAGTGAGGAGATAGAGTAAATGCATTCAAACAATATTCAGTTCAACGCCACTAATCCCCATATATATATATATATATATATATATATATATACAAATGTTTAGAGGTACAAAATTTATATATAGTTTTAAAAACAAGGAATCTATTGATTTTAATTTTAAAAGTCCCTAAGGCCCTTTCAACCAACATCTCATCAGGAGACAATCGTTGGATCAACGAAAAGAATATTAACGACAATGAAGAGCAAAAAGAGGAGGAAACACACTAAAAAAACAAACAAACAAGTGTATATATCTGTAACGAGGGAGGGAAATAATCGTAAATAAATTAGCGAGGGACAGTTAAAATAAAATATCCCCAACAGATTAAGAGATTTTACAAATTCTTTTCTGCCGGCAGAGAGAAGGTTTCTTAATCCTATGCAGACCGATTCCAAAATCTTCAAATGATTGTTCCTTGTTTTTAAAACTATATATATATATATATATATATATATATATATATACCTTTACTCGTCATGTGATTTAAATATTTCAAGATGCTGTCGACTGTGTTTGTTCTCTGGCTATCCGTGTTCAAACCCAAGTGTCGGCAGCGACACTTTATTCTTATATGCCAGGTAGACAGTTTGTTTCCAGTAAGGGTTACAGGGCATATGCTAAGCTATGAATACTCCCTTAAAAGTCCCAGTATTTAAATAAATACGAATGTGACAGTCATTAATAAAGGAAAAGAGAGAAATAACAGCAAGGTTTCAACAGCAGCAGCAGCGAGCATAGTTAAAAAAATAAAGAGAGGCGTCGGTGTGTGCAGTCAAGAGTGACAAGCAGCTTTAGCAGAACTCGTCAGCTGGCAGGTTACAATTAAAGATCCAAGTTGTCAACACAGGATTGTACCACGAGAAAATAGTCTATTGGCTTAAAACTTTGGTTCCTGAATTTGGTAACATGGTAACTTTGAATTCAATCCTTGGATTTGCTGGAAACGTGGCGAACAATACTAAATAAAAACTGGATGAGATAATCAACGAAAGAAGAAATATTTATTCCCGGAGATTAAAAAAAAAACCGCTTTCCCTAAAGTTTACTCGGATCGAGAAGCACCTGCTGAAGAACAGAGAGCACAACTGCCAAAATATTGTGACAATAAAAACAAAGGTGAAGACCGTATGGAATTTATGAAAATAAGCTGTGTGACCATGGTTAAATGCAAATAGCAAAACTGCCCAACAAACAGAATGGACAAAAAGAAATACCATGTAAAAGAAAAGAAAAGAAAAGAAGGAATAATGGAAATAATACACGTTGTGAATATAGCAATGAGGATGAGGATAACAGGCCGAATAATGTAAATAATGCAAGTAATCATAATACCTCATCTCAGAGATATAGACCGATATATAGAGAGACATAGATATAAAGGCCGGAGCGTACAACGGCCGAAACGTTGTGAATATGGCAATGAAGATGAGGATAACAGTCCGAATAATGTAAATAATGCAAGTAATCATAATACCTCATCTAAGAGATATAGACAGATACATAGAGAGACATAGATATAAAGGCCGGAGCGTACAACGGCCGAAACGTTGTGAATATGGCAATGAAGATGAGGATAACAGTCCGAATAATGTAAATAATGCAAGTAATCATAATACCTCATCTAAGAGATATAGACAGATATATAGAGAGACATAGGCATAAAGGCCGGAGCGTACAACGGCCGAAACGTTGTGAATATGGCAATGAAGATGAGGATAACAGTCCGAATAATGTAAATAATGCAAGTAATCATAATACCTCATCTCAGAGATATAGACAGATACATAGAGAGACATAGACATAAAGGCCGGAGCGTACAACGGCCAAAACGTTGTGAATATGGCAATGAAGATGAGGATAACAGGCCGAATAATGTAAATAATACAAGTAATCATTATACCTCATCTCAGGGACGCCATTTATTAGAATTTTAATAAATATAATTATGTGGTTCACAACCTGATTGTCCGATGGAGTTCGCATTCATTGTACCTGACTACTTAGGTATCGCAATATGCATAATTCAACTGAGGTCTTCGGGTTTTTTACCGTTGTCATATATTTCCTTAAGTAAACAGATCAATTCCCCAAAACATCTAAGACTGACAGCAGATTTATTAAAACTACATCCGGGCCTATTGTCTTGTTTCTGTTAACTTTGGCCAATCAGTTATGTGTCATGCGTCATAAACGCTCAGGCGATCATGTATCTTTCGATACATGAATGACCAAGCAGATTTTTACCCCGAAGTAGGCTAACTTTTCTTTCTTAGGTAGACCAATTGCCATCCAAGGCTATAGAACCCGGTCTGTCCTGCTATTTACCCATAGCTAGAGGGAAGAAGAGGGTTCATACCTTTCCCAAGGGTATTAGTACGTCAGTCAGTCAGTTATGTGCCATGCGTGATACACGCATACACGATCATGTATCTTTCAATCCATGACTGACGAGGCAGATTTTTCCCGTAGTAGGTCGCCATTTCTTTTTACATTAGACCAGTTGCCATCCAAGGCTATAGAACCCGATCTGCCCTTCTATTTACCCATAGCTGGGA